GCCACCTCCAAAATTCTCCAACTGTAGTGGAGAATTTTGACTCTTCTGGGGTCCCTAAAGTCTCATCCCCTTCCAGTGCTGGGAGCACATACCCCTGCACAAGGGACCCCATCTGCACAGGGCTGGTGTCTGACTATATGGAGGCTCAGCTCTGCAGACGAAGGAAGTCGCCAGTGCTGGCAGAGTTGCTGCCTGGCTTCCCACTATTGTTCCCAGTGTCAAATAAAAGGGGGGTGAACGCCCCTGCTGAGCATTGTAGGAGGGGGTAAACGTTATCTTGATAAAATCTCATGGCCCCTCTCTGAGCAGCTCGTGCCTCTTTCCTGCTTGTCTCCCTCTCTGCATATTCTCACATCCATGCTACTTGTGGCTCAGCTCTCTGCACAGGTAGTTTTACTTGTCCCTCAGACAGAATCACAGAATGGGTCAGGTTGGAGCAGACCACAGGGGTCATCTGGCCCCACCTCCCTGCTCAGGCAGGGCCATCCCAGAGCACAAGGCACAGGATTGCTGATGGTTCTGGATTATCTCCAGTGAGGGAGACTCCACAACCCCTCTAGGCAATCTGTTCCAGTGTGTGGTCACTGCACATTCTTCCACATGTTCAGGTGGAACTTCCTGTGCATCAGTTTCTGCCTATTGCCTCTTATTGCTTGGCAGCACTGAGAAGAGCCTGGCCCCAACCTCTTGTCACTCTCCCTTCAGCCACTGATGAGGTCCCCTCTCAGTTGTCTCTTCTCAAGGCTGAACAGACTCAGCTCCTTCAGCCCTTCCTCATAAGAGAGATTCTCCATCCCTTCATCATCTCCACAGCCCTCTGCTGGACCCTCTCCAGGAGCTCCATGTCTCACTTGTACTGCTGAGGAGCCCAGAACTGGACACAGGAAGAGACACATGCTGCTCTCCCTCTCAGGCACCTGTAAGGGTAGGGTTAGTAATTTGCAGTATATGCCTTCAACAAGGGCTTGGTGGTGAACATGTTGCAGGAAAAAGGTCACAAGTGCCCTATGCACAACCCACGAAGGAAGCACGGTTTCGTTTCTGGCTTTGGCTTTTTGCAGTTCAGGTCAAAGTTCAACCGTGGTGTGTTAGATAAGAAGTGAACTACTGTGCAAGTGCAAGAAACTGTGCAAGTGTAAGAAGTGGGGTCACAAATAGCACACTTGGGTTTTGAGGTACTTGCCTTGCATAACCCCCAGAACAGACCCCCAGTGACTGTCAAATTAAGATTTGAGTATGTGTGATGGCAGAACCATGCCTACTCTTGCCTCACATGCTAATGAGGAACTGAAAGTCACTTCTACATCTACTTTTTACCGAAATAAAGGACTGCATAAGGATTAGTCAGGAAATAAAGTGAACTGGGTAAGACACCACCATCAAGAAGCCCAAGGCACAGAAGGACCAGTGGGAGGCTGATAGAACCATGGAGGTGACTGCCTTCTACTTGCCCTATCTCTCTTCTTCTCCCCCTCTCGCTTTCTCTCTCTCTTTCTCATTTCCATATAAGATTAAATTTGTGAAATAGAGTCAACATTGTTGAACTGGCATTTAGTCTCCTTTGCACCTTAATACGGGCAGAGAACTTCAACAGTGAATTGTAGCGTTTTAATCAGCATCACTGTTCTCTGACCCAAAGTGCCATTTAACAGTTCTGAACTTTTACTGTTCTTCCTGCCTGGTGGGAGATTCACCCTCTGAGGGAGATTGACCAAAATTTTACAGTTACTTTTACTGTCCCTCTGTGGGTGACAGCTTTCTCCTGCTTGGTGTGCCCAGGTTGTCTCCCCCCGAGGGAAACTAAAGGAAAAATGGTTCTCAAGGATGACCGGTGTAAGGCTAAAGTTTTACTCTCTCCTGGAGAAGCTTGGTAGTTGCCTCTCTCCTCCAGGGTTGGAGTGGGCATAAACTAATTGTGATAATGTACAGGCAATAGCTGATCACATTGCTAGTTTGCAGGTCGAGTGAAAAATGGGATGAGGAAAAGGTAAGTTGCCCATTAAAGGTAAGAAGTTAAGTTATTTGTGCAGTTTTGGGAGGTTGTTTATCTTGCATGCAAAAGGAAATGAAAAGCTTCCTGCCATCTGAAAAGAGTTGCAGATGTAAAATATATGACTTCGGAGTCAGAAAATGAGGTTCTTAGAACGGCATTTTCTTTTGAGAAAAAGACACAGGAGAAATTGTAATAACTAGTAGATATTATTTTAAATAAAAATGAGCAATTAGAAGAACTACTGTCTGCAGCTGAAATATGAGAAAAAGAGATGCAGAAAAATCTAGGTAAATTACTTGATAAAATCCCACATGAATCATCCTCTAATTCAGTCCAGCACATCTATAGGGTGGTATATTTGTGAGGATCCTGAAACACAGCATGGGGACATTTGGTCATCATTTTGATGATTTTTTAGAGGCAGATTCTGACCCTACCCCAAAAGCAGTAAAAGTTCAGCCTTTATTTGAAACAGAAACTGCGGGTGAGGAGGGTGGAAAAACCCACACTGCTGTTCCCCACTGAGTAAGATACATTGCTGGAAGAACATTCATGTTCAGGGGGAAACAAAACTGAATGCAAGTTTCCTTTATGGGCAGAGATCAGATGTTGCTGAGTGAGGAAGAGGCAGAAAGATTCTGGTGACATAGAGTATTTTTAACTACTACCCCAGGTAACCGTAACTACTCATCAACAACCTGAGCTGCCTACTGGGCTGGGGGCATGGACCCACAGGACACAAGAAAGCCTAATGCAGTTCAAAATATCAGGATTCTCAGTTCTGGCAGCTTCTGTGCAAAAGGCAGTGTGTATTTAAGCAATGTACAAAAGACATCAATTAAGGTGATTCCTGACGATTCCTGGTGATTCCTGGTAGCTCCTGCCAGTCCAGCCAGATTAACTCCTCCCCTTCCTGGCCTTCCAGATAGGCTGAAAATGTTTCTCTATAGCCCAAGATCACGTACAAATGGATGGCACCATGAATATTACTGCAGCAGTGGCACAACCACCTATAGACCAAATTCACATACCTGCCTGGTATGAATTTGCCCAGGAAATAGGGAATTATGGGTGCCATATCGGATGGGTTGGAGCAACCTCTGGGAAGCCACCTGAACCCTCCTGGTGAGTCTGTCAAATTTATATCAGCACAGCAAAGCTAAAATCTAAACCAAGACTTGATTAGATTAACAATACCCACTGCTGCAGGTATTAATGGGGTGGTGGCAGAACCAAAGTTTTCTGTGTTACGCTTGGGAAGTGAAAGATAGTTCTGGAAAAATCCATCAAATTACTGTGAGATGGAGAATGCCCTCTGTTAACCCACTGTGCACTGGTTAGATGGAAACTGAGTGATCCCATTTTACGGTTTTTCCAGGTATCCTGCATATTAGAAAGTGCACCTAGAGCTGAGGGTTCTCCTATTCCAACTTTGAGCATCCACAGCTCAGGTTTTTAACTTTTGTGCATACTGTGTTTTGGGGGTTTTAATTTCTGTATGTATCTGTAAGTTTTGTTTACAAATTTAACCAAGTAATGAAGGTTAACAAGTGCAGCATTTATAAACTGTGTTGGAAAGATATGCCTTGGTTTAATATGTTTATATTTAATGAAATTAAGCAATTGCTGCTTGTTTTTGTTGTTGCTTTTGCTTAAATCTGTAGAAGACCTCCTTCTCATGGGTATATTTACTAAGACTGGAATACCCAGGATACTCTCCAGACAGCAAATCCTTACTCTCCAGATAAAAAGCAAGTTATTGTGTAATTCATTTTTCAATTTTGCGCCAATTCAATTTTGCTCCAATATTTGAGAAGGGGACCCATAGCTCTGTATTATCCCTGGGATGGCTGCAGGGGAGCAGTGTGAAGATGTGGAGGTGTGTAGAAGTGTGCCTTGGACACAGAAGTGTGGTGGGAAGGAGACCCAATGCCAAGAAACACCATCCCTAGCACTGGTTCCTGCTGGCTCCATGCTCAGCCCACGGAGGTTTCACCAACAGTTTCAGAGTCCTCCACAGCAAACGAATTTCCTAAGCCTGCTGGACTTTATGACCCCTTGCTTGTGGGAAACACCTCCAGGGAAGGCGAGCTTATCAGCACTCACTTCTCCTTTCTTCAGGATGTTTTAGGGAAGGGTAGAAACTGTCTCCCAGCTGTCTGTGCAGCAGCAGGATGACTGCACTCAGGTGCTCCCTGCAGGGCTTGGGAGGGGGATTGAGGGACTACTGGGCTCCTGAGCCTTGACCTCTTCCTCTGTCTCTCTTTTCCACTTGACTTTTGGAGTCTTACAAGTCAGGGACACTGTCTACTGACTTACAGTGTAGCTCCTACCTGGGGAGAAGACAGCAGGGGTGATACTTGTCTGTGAGGACGACATTCCCAAGTTCAAGGGTTAGGGAGGATGGGACGATTGAACCTGATATGGCCTGGTGTCTGGCTCTTCAGGCTAAAAGGTTTGTGTCTACATAGGTCTTGGATGGGAGGTTGCAGAGAGCTACCACACATGGGTATTGCAACCCACACAGCTGAGGCTGAATCTAGAGGCACAAGAAGGGAAGAAGCTTGGATGCCACCATGTCACTCCTGCAAAGGACACTCCATAGCTCATGCCTTCTAGAGGGGATGTGTTGGTTGTCCCCTCCTCCAAGCCCCTTTGAGCCCTTCCTTGGAGCACTGTGGGGAAGGATGGTGGACACCTTTTTGTGTGCTGGTATGGATTTTGAAGCTGCCTTTTGCCACAAAGGGAAGGAGCTGGGATGTTCTTTTGGGTGAGCTGTTACACACAGGAGAGAAGTGAACATGGTGGTCCCACCTCCTTGGATAGCTGGGAAGATTTGTCATATGTCATGTCTAAAGTAGCACCCCTAAGGGCTGTGTGTGATAGTCCTTCCCCTGGGAGCCCACCATGGAGGCTGGGACTTGCTTTTATTTCCTGGAATCCCTAGTGAGAAGTGTATATATAAGCTTTTTCCTTGGATCAAAGTCTTCTAGCCTAACAACAGCTGTTGGAGCTTTGCAGAGACAGGGGTCATGTTAATGTATAAACCACAGGGAAGTTTAGGGCTGTAAGATCCTGTGTGCAAAGCCTTTCTGAGCTGAACTGGTGGTTTCTCCCTGCCTGGTTACTCTACCCTCTGAGGAAGATGCCTGTAAGGGCTGCTGCTCCTGTTCTCTGTCACCCAGGGTCCTCAGCTCAGCAAAGCTGAGTGAGACTGGCAAGTCATAGCCACTCTCACCATTTGCATTTCTTGGGCAGCATCAGCTTTCCACCAAACCCTGGGCAGTGCCCCTCTGCTTTAACCCTCTTTGTATCTTGGCTGTCCTGCTTTTTTTTCCTTCTGCTGAGAACAAGCCTGTTTTCACTTCCTCTCTCTCTCTGATGTCTCTTCTCTCTTGCGGGCTTCACTCACCTCACTCTTCTCTCACTGAATGAGAAGTTCATGCAAGACCTGCAGCGTGGAGGGTTTTGGTCATCAGAGGAGCACTAGCTGAGAGCAATGTCCTGGGTGGGATACCTCCAAGCAGCACCCTCTCAGTTTCAGTGGCAAGTCAGGAGGAATGGCTGAAGGAGCCCCACAGACTATTTTTCTCTACTTTAGGGAACTATCGAAATCTTAAACGTGGATATGAAGCCTGGGGACACCCTGAAGGTGAAGGGCAAAATACCTGCCGATGCTGTTGGGTAAGTACAAAGAAACCACCTTGGCATGCCAGGGTTGAAGGTGGGCTGTAGAGGAAAATGATTTCCCAAGGTTGCCAGATACAAAATAGAACATTGTTGTGCCACCTGCAACACTGATGGGAGGAACTGGATGCAGAGAGGTGTGTTGGATCTCAGGTCTTCCAAAACCCTCTCCTGTCCATGCATATGACTTTCCTCATGCTCATTTTACAGCTTCAGCGTCAATCTTGGCTGCAGCTCCAGAGATCTGGCATTTCACTTCAATCCCCGCTTCAATGAGTCTGTCATCGTCTGTAACTCCAAGTGCTCCGACGCCTGGCAGACGGAACATCGTGACCGCCACCTCTCTTTCTTCAGGGGCTGCACTGTCAAGGTGAGGGGTTTGTGCCAGCATGGGGTTATGGGGCATGTGTGGTGGGTATGGGTATGTGGGGAATATGTGGTGAGAGGAAGCCCGCAGTTAGCAGGTTCCCATACCATAGTTTTCCCGGTCCTACCCGATACCTCCTGCTCACTCACAATTGCCCCTCATTTTCTGGGCTTTTGGTCCTGATTGCCATTTCCACTCCTCGTTCAATACTGCAATAGCATTTCTGGGAATTTTATGTGAGTCCTGTCTGTCTCACACTTTGTAAGCGCTTCCTGGCCCTTCCATCTGCCCAGCAGGTGAGTGTACCTGGGGCATGTATGAAAGTAAAGGGAGTCTCCAAGAAGCAGGATCTTGCTGCTGTCTACCTTATTTCTCTCCCTCCCCCCTGTGTAAACACAGGCTTCAAGGCAACCCAGAGTTTGGAGCAATGTCCAAAAGCCTCTCCCTCAACTCTTCTGTCCTCATTACTCCTGGATCCATGCTGCCAATCTGTTCTTTCTCTCTTCCTGCCAGGGATGCTGTCCTAGTTGCTGCTTCGCTTTATCTGATGTCCTAAATCATTAACAGGGGTGCATTTAGGAGTAGTCCTGTTCCTGTAGCTGTGGAGAGAAAGCTTTTTTCCTCAGACAGAACTGGCTCTTGGGGAAGGTGTAGTGAGGCGATAGCTTTGGGGAACATTGCCTTTAGTTTGCAATGACCAGTGATGCATTCTTGTCCAGTCTGCTTGTGCATGTTTATCAGCAAAGTTCCTTTTTCTGAGTCCTGGTGAGCTGCTGAGGGCATTGGGGGTCAGATTTATTCTGCCCTGTTCAGAGCAGAATGGTGGTGTGCACATTCCATATGCTCTATAAAGACACGTAAAGGCACACTTGAGTTTAGCTGCTCTGAGTTTACAATCTGAGTAGCTGAAACAGCCTCAGGAGAGATCCTGTCTCCAGTCATAGTCTGTATTCCTGCTTAGACCCTTGATATCTACTGCTCGCTTCCTGAATCACCCTCGCCTCAACCCCCAGCACCTTGCTTAAGGTTACAGCCAACAGGTAACAGCCACTCTTATGTAACAGTCAGGCCTTTTGCCTAGATGCTGACCTCTGAATGCCCTCCTTGCCCTCAGCTCCTGCCCTTCTTTCTCTTTTTTCTCCCAGTTCTTCATTGAAATGCTGTCAGACAGATTCCGTGTGAAACTGCCGGATGGTTATGAAGTGTACTTCCCCAACCGGCACGGCTACCGCAGGATCAACTACATAAGCATTGCGGGAGGCTTAAAGATGGTCTCCTTCAAGCTGTTCTGATGGGCACTGCTTCCTAGTTCTAATAAAATCCCAAGCCAGTGGAAGATTGCTTTTTCTTCTGTGAGAGCTCTGTGCAAGCCACTGACAAAGCCCAAGGTTCTCCCACCAATAGGAAAGAAGCCATTGTTGGATAATTCCAGGTACCTTCCAGGTCAGAACAGGCCGTGGGGTTGAAGGGATAGTAGGTAGGCCAAAGCAGGCTGTAGGTGGGGTTCAGGATGACAACTTTATATGATAGTTTGGGAAACTGTTGTGTGATCTTGTCACAATGCTCCATTTCCTTCTGCAGCCGAGTTTTTGGGAAGGGGAGATACATCAAATGGGAAAGAAGGCATAAATGTGAATGAAGTGGCATTTGATGTGGCATTTGGTGCTACAAAACTGCATAATTAAAACGTGGGATGGGGACGGCAGCACAGGTGTGTCCCCAGCCAGCATTCCTGCCATAGATAAGGGACCATCTCCAACTTTCCATTTTAGCTCACCTCACTTACCTGCTGGTGCATTCCAGTCAGGTTGGCCATTACTCTGGCGTTTCCAAAGCGGATCCTACTCATCCAGTATGAGGCAGGGGAGGCAGTGGGATTTGGGCTCAGTACCTCCTTGCACAGGACTACTAATAGTCCAAATTATTACATCCTGCTGCTCTGATTGAAAAGTATCTTGCCAGCCTGAAGTCACACTGATGTGTGACAGTAAACATTGGGACACTTGAGGCTGCATGGGAGGAGAGCAGAGTGGAAGAGCATCTTACAGAGAGCCTGGTCCATGGCAAGGTGGCAGTGTCCCTGCCCTCTCTCTCCACGTCTTCACTGCCCAAGATGGAGGGGCTGGTGGCAGGGGCTCCAGCTGACATAGCAAGAAAGACAAAAAGGTCACAGCAGCCAAGGGGACGCACCAGAGAAGTTAGTATCAAAACTGTTTTAATAAGGACAATAATAAGTGCATGGGATACAGAGGGGAGGCAGAAAGGGTAATTCCACAGATACAGGTCTTTGGTCTTGTGTTATGGTCTGGAAAGCAGAGGGCAGAGGAGAGCTCATCCTGAGAGCCCAGGTCCCCACCCTGGAAGGTGCAAGGGAGAATAAGGCTGATCCTGCTGGGTGCCACTGGCCAGACCTGGGGACTTCCTGAAGCTGGTGCCTGCCCTGGTTTGCTGCTGGTGGCTGGCAAGAGGCAGCCCCTTGGGGAGGCTGGGGAACACGGGCTTGCCCTTAACCTGGGTGGCCTGGCTGCAAGTAGCACTTCCACGTGCGGTATGTGCACACCCTGGAGCTCTTTATCCTGCTCTGAAGAGCTTCCTAGCAAAAGCAGCTGGGTGGCGGGCGAGATAAGTGGGAGCAGAGTCCTGCAGCCATGGCCCAGCATCTCCTCCCACTGCACACCCCCTCCTGTCCCAGAGAACAAGGGGGGTCCTGTGAGGGTCCCTGCGGTGACCTCAGCCCCCGAGCACGTCGGCTCCACACCATGGCACAAAGGCGCTTCTATGAGGGCCACATTGCACACGGGCCAGCGTGGGGAGCAGCTCATTCCAGGGCAGCTGTGTCACCCAGGGACACTCAGAGAGGGACATTAGCCACGGGCCACATTACCCTTGGGAAGGGGCGCGCTGCAAAGAGGGAGCTGTGTAGGGAATGGGGAGGGGGACAAGGATGGAGACACAAACTGTGCCGCCACCACGAGGATAGTGGCACAAGCCAAGTGGCTGCAGAGGAGCCTCCTTGTTCCGAGGCAGGGGGAAAAGAAGGGGTTTTTAGAGCCTGAACTGCAGAATTTGGTGACCTGACAACCTGCCTTTGCCACCAGTCAGCCAGGAAGTTTCTCCCCTCTCAATTGCTGAGAGGAGCAGGGGTCAGGAAGGAAGCTGTCCTAAGTGATGCCCAGCAGCAGGAGGCAAGTGGAAAGATTCCTCATTATTTCTGTGCATGCTCTCACCTCCCGAACACTGAGCACACAGCTTTTGGTGGCGGGGGGGGCAGGGGAAAAGAGATAGCTCAGCTCTGTAGGGTTTGCCTGCCCCTTGGGACCCCAGCTGACCTTTCTCTGTTGATAGATGTGCTATACTGAAGGGTCTTGCACCAGCTGGAGCTGGGGAGACCCCATCCACTACATGCCAGAGCTATCAGTGGGAGTATCTCTGGGGAGGCACATATGCCATTGCAGGGGGTGGCTGGGGACGTCAGTGGGAGGATGGAGTATGTCCCCAGACATGTTGGTGGAGCCAGGCTGAGGGCTGAGAGAGAGGGTGCTGGGGAGAATGGGATGGGGTAGGAAGGATTTGGGATTCCTTTGGCACATGGGAATGTTCCTTTGATGTCTCATGGCCGTGAGGCTGGAGAAGGGTTGCTATGCCTGGCTGTGTGGTGCCCACTGGCCCTCTGCAGCAGCCTGGCCCAGCCCCAGAGAGCCCCCCAGGAGATGGGCTCTCCTCCTGCCCTCCCCGGCCTGCCCAGTGCCCCCACTTGGCAAGGAGAGACCGACTGGGTCTACTGGTGACACTGGCACCAGCGGGTGGGGCACAGGGAAGAGGGCAAAGACCCTGGCACCAGTGTCTCTGGTGGGGCCTGTGATGGGAGGGATGGCCGTTCACACCTTGACTTCATCGTCCTCTTCCTCCTCCTCATCGGCATACTCGAAGGAACTGCTGCGGCCCCCCCGGGCACCGCTGCAGCTTTCCTGCAGGCTGGAGAGCTTGGTCTCCTCCTCCTCCTCCTCTCCTTGGTTCCAGCTGGCCTCGGGGGACCGGCTCTCCCTTGTCACCTGTGACCCCCACAAGCTGCTGCTGGGGCTCTCCCACAGGGTCTGTGTCCGGGCCTGCCGGGGACCCTCGCCCTTCTCCGAGCTCCGTGGGGTGCTGGTCCCACCGTAATGGCGGGCCAGGACCTGGGCTGCTCGGTCAAATTCTCCAGCCTCAATGGTGCAGTCGTTCCAGTGGGCCTGCCACGGGGACCCTCTGGGCGCCGCCCCTGGCCCTGAAGCCCAGACAGAGTTCGCTCCAGCGCCTTTGATGGTGTGTGCCTCTCCGTTGGCATGGACCGACAGACCCGGCAGCGAGCTGGCCCCTGACAGGTTGCTCTGCCTGGAGTGGTCCCAGAAGCTGGATGCTGCCTTGTCCTCTTTGTGGGACGCATGCACTGCTGGAGGGACCCTGTCCTTGGTCTCCTCTTCACACAGGAAGTGTGGGCCATCCTCCCCCACCTCGTTCCCATTGGTTTCAGAGAAGCTCATCACCTGGAGGAGCTCGCTCATCAGGGAGGGCCCCAGGTCTAGGCGGAAGGACAGCAGGGAGTCGGAGCGATCCAGCTCATCTTCCCCAGGATGGGTGCTCTCTTGGGCCTTTTCCAAGCGAGGGACACGAGGGATGGTACAAAATCCGGACTCCAGCCCTGTGAGGCAGAAGGTATGGCTGGTGAGGCAAGGGAGGAAGCCTGACTTACTTCTGCAGGGGATAAGGGACACTGCTGCCAAAGTGGCTCAGGTCATGCTCCCGTTGGTGGCAGTGGCCTCTGCAGGACAGGTCGGTGTCTCTGTGGACATCTCCGAAGCCCAGAGTTACAGCAGAGGGTCTCCAGGTGGGCTCTGGGCTTGGTAAGATGGCACTGGGGGCTGAGCCAGGCAGGTGAGACCAGGAGATGGCAGCATTGCCTCAGCCTGCCTTTCCCTCTGAGCCTGGCCACCTCCCCTGGCCGCTGCAGGCACCCCAGATCCACCCTGAGACCTTCTGCTCCAGACCTCCCTCCCTGGGGAAAAGCTGAGCACAGCCCAGCGCTGTGAGGCTGGAGAGGAGCCACACAGATGGCCTGTCCCATCCTTCCCACAACCCTTCCCCAAAGGGCACCTTGGCTGGCAGGGAGGGGCGTGGACACGCACGGAAAAGGGGGGGATGGAATCCCTCGGGAGCAGGACATGGAGATATAGAGGTTGGCACAGCTAGGTAGTAGAGGGTTAGAGCATCTGTGCGGAGGAGGGGAAGGCCATGCTGTGGGTCCCCTTGACCTCACAACCTTGGAGTGGGAATCGCTTCACTGTCCCAGCACCTTTTTGGCTTCCTCAGGGAGGTCGCTCAAGTGAAAGGTGTAGGGCTGAGGGTAGATGGGGGGTGCTCCCTCACAGCTGCTACACACAGGCTGCCAGCTGTGTGGGGCTATGGGAAAGGGGGAGAAACAGAGAAACCATCCCTGCCCCACTTTGAGGGACACCCTGGGAGGAGAATCTCCAAGAGCAGGAGCAAGGACCATGGTTCAGAACTCGGAGGGATTATCAAGACTGGGCAGTCTTAAATATCTCTCCTTAAAACCCTAAGCCCCTCGCTGGGACAAACTGAGGCACGGAGCAATGGAGAAGGGCCCCAGAGGATGCTCGGTGACTGGGCGCCAGCCTCTGCTTCACTCACCGTAGGCCTGGTGTGTTTTGGAGAAGCTGTTGGAGGCACTTTTGAAGGAGAACTTGCTGGTCAAGCCCCGGCCGCCGCCGCCTCCGTCATACATCCCCTCGTTGAGCTGCGGCAGGGAGACGGCGTTCTTGATGATGGGTGAGATGGCTGGGGGCTCGGGCGAGGCGCCCGCCTGGCCCCCGCTGCCCCGTCTCTTCAGCGGCGCCCGGCGGACGTGCCGCAGCGTCCGGGCAAAGAAGTTGTTGGGTTTGGCTGTGTCAGCCCCGCCGTGGTTGCTAAGGAAAGAGGTGTCCCCGAAGACGTCCCCGCCGCGCCCCACATGCATGGTGTGCCGGAAGTCGCCCAGCGGCGGGCTGATCATGTCTGGTGTCAGCTCCGACTTCAGCCGCCGCTTGCCGTGGGAGCCTGACACCCAGCTGAGCACCGGCAGCTTCCCCAGGCTCATGTTGTTGCACCCTTCGCCCTGCCTTTGAAAAAGCTCCAAAAATCAGCCCTCACCAGGCTTCCAGCACTGGGGTGGTCTGTCACATCCCCAGCCTCCCCATTGCTTGTGCTCCGATGCTCCTGGGGTAACAGCTCGTGTCACTCTGGCTTTCGGCAGGTTTCCTCCTTCCCTGCGCTACGTCGCGCTCGTGAAATCACCCTCGGAGG